CGATGGACTCTGAAAAACAAACTGAGGGTTCTAGAGGGGAGGAGGGGGGGGGATGGGTTAGCCTGGTGATGGGTATTAAGGAGGGCACATTCTGCGTGGAGCACTGGGTGTTATGCACAAACAATGAATCATGGAACACTACATCAAAAACTAATGGTATAATGTATGGTGATTAACATAACAATAAAAAAACACTATAAAATGATATCAAAGATAGGAAGTTCCTGACCATAAAGGTAGCTTTTAAAGAAACAAGACAGATGTCAGAAAGTTTACAGACCCTGGACTGGACCATTAATATGCATGGGTGCCTCAGTCGGTTAAACGTCTGACTCTTAATTCTCAGCTCAAGTCCTGACCTCAGGGTTGTGAGTTCAAACCCTGCATTGGGCTCCATGCTGGGCGTGGAGCCTAATTAAACAAAACAAGGTAAAACAAAACAACCCCGACACCCACTCCTGCTTGCTGAAATGTTCCCAAGTTCCCAAGTTCCCCACCCATCCCGTTCATCTGTGTTCTTTACTGACCATGCTCTGACGTGAAAATTCATGTATATGTATTTGGACCCATGAAAGCACACATATGACAGTGTCCTTATTCCTTTTCTTTCATTCTAGAATATCAAACTTTAATAAAAACATATTTCAAAAAAGGTGGTATTGGTCAAATCTCTCTAAATGGAAACATCTTTTTTTCCCCCCATTAATGTGTCAGTTGCCACCCTTGGTTGCATATTGGAATCATCAGGAAACTTTAAAAATACTGATGCCTGTGTCCCACCCTAAGACACTGTTATTTAGTTGGTCTGGAGTGTATGACCTGGCCCTGGAGATTCTGCAAAGCTCCCTCGGTGATTCTGATAGGAACCTCTGGTAGATTGTCATAATCACAGTCCCTGAGGTATTTAATGTCTTTTATCTATCTGCACGCCCTGGTGACCTTGTGCCCTTGCAGAATCCCCTCACACATTGACTTTGGGTGTTGCCATGTGACTTGCTTTGGCCAGTGAAACATTAACAAATATGACACAAGCAGAGACTAGAAAAACATCTGCATATCCGGGCTTGCTATTTCTCTTACAGCTTTTGGAACTGAATGAAAAAACTCAGGTGACCCGGGTGGAGACTCAGTGCTCAGCCGACCACCAGCACCAACCACCAGAAATGTGACTCAAGGTTTTTGACTCTCCAGCTCAAGGTGAGCCAAAAAAATGACTGCAGCCAGGTCAGGGACCTCAGGAAAGACCAGGAGAACAAGTACCTGGCTGAATGCACACCAAAATGCTGACAGGATAATGAGCAAATAAATGATTGTTCTTTTAAGACATTAAATGTCAGGGTTGTTGGTTATACAGCAATAGTCAACTGATTCAGCAGCCAAAATTGAGAAGCACCAGTTACATAATAAGTTTGGAGATTCTTTATTATTTATATTTATTTATCACAAAAGCAAAGCTCACTGTTAAATTTTGGAAGCTACAAAAATTATCAACACAAACAACACAAACCATGACTAAATCACCAGAGGCAATGAATGTTGAAGTTGAGCTTGTTTTGTTTTCAAATGGCTTAATCATAAGAAGCAAACTAAAATCAGAGAGGGAGACAAACCTTGAGAGACTCTTAATCGTGGAAAACAAACTGAGGGTTGCTGGAGGGGAGGGGGGTGGGGGATGGTAACTGGGTGATGGGCATTAAGGAGGGCACAAAATGTAATGAGCACTGAGTATTATATAAGACTGATGAATCACTGAGCTCTATCTCTGACACTAATAATACATTATATGTTAATTAATTGAATTTAAATTAAAAAAAATTTTAAAAAGGAAAGCTTACAATAGAGAAGAATTACACGTCAGTACCTTTTGCAAACTGAGCTGGGACGGAAAGAGACTGGGGGGCTGCCCCTCAACCTGACCCCTTTGAAACAAAGACATCCATAATGTCCCTGGCCATCTGGCTCAGGGAAGGAAGAGAAGGCTGGCTCCGTGCAATGAGCACTCCTTGCTCACCACTCACTCACTCCTGGTTGCCTCTGGTCAGTGCCCTTCTTCAGTTCTGTCCTGACACATCTTTAAGATTTTATTTATTTATTTATTTACTTATTTATTTATTTATTTATTTAACAGAGGGGGGGAGAGAGAGAGAGAGAACACAAGCAGGGGGAGCGGCAGGCAGAGAGAGAGGGAGAAGCAGGCTCCCCGCCGAGCAAGGAGCCCGACACAGGGCTCAATCCCAGGACCCTGCGATCATGACCTGAGCCTAAGGCAGATGCTTAACCGACTGAGCCACCCAGGCACCCCTGTCCCAACACATTTTTAAACAATGTCAAAATACTATAGTGCACTCATATATCCTAACTTGTTTTCACTTGTATCATATTTTCCCGAATCACTCAAAACTTCGTGACCATAATTTTTCCTCTTAACATGTTAGTGGCCTTTAATTGTTAACACTCTCATTTCAAAGCCTTTTCTCCTCATTAAGAAATTAATTACCGTAAGTACCTAGAAAAAGGCTTGAATGAAGCAGTATAATTTCCAAAAGAAAATTTATTGCACTTAAATACGTTTGTCACAAATATATACAAGCACAAATCTTTCTGTCTTGAAGACCCAAAAACATTTTTGTGTAAGTACTTTCCCTGAGCTGACCATGCCTGAACTACTAACAGTGCTTTCAGAACAGACCCTAAGTAGGCACAGAGCAAGATGGTGAGAGGCATAAAGAAGGACCTTATTTTAGACTCTTTTGAAAGCTGTATTAACTCCTCTGAATTACATAGTTAGTAATTATTACTTCATCTTACTACTACCTGCAAGTTATAAAAGGGCCTGCCTTACAGCCTTAGGCACTAAAGTATTTTGCTTGTTAATTTCTAATAATTGAGATGACTTGTTTTGACAGAAGTGGTTTGGCAAGTGAAAAAAGCCAATTTTTTCCAATCTTTAATAAGGAATAATAATGTGCATGAGGATTTTTGTTTGTTTCATTTTTATCTTCTTCTTTTTTAAAACTTTCAAATGCCAAAGCTGTCATCTGTGTAGTTTGTAGTTCTCCTCAAAAGCCGTGCAGTAGTTCAGCCACCAGGGGGAGCCTGGAAGACTTTTTTTTTTTTTTTTTTTTTTTTTTTAAGTACCTGCTCAAAGCCTGTTACTGGTTTGGGGCTTTAAGGTGTTCCAAAAATGTGGCTAAACCTGTCTTGCTGTGCAGAATAATTTCCCTCACACGGACACACAGACGTGCAAAGCACTTGGGTTTTTTTCTCTACAACACACGGTTTCCAAATTAAGTGGTGTTTCTATATTTGAAAACTATATGGTGGCTAACTGAACATAATAAAAAAAAAATAATTTTGAAAAAAAAGAGTCTCTGAAAATTGGAAAAAGTCATTGAGAAGGAAAGAAAGGACAAAGAAACGAATAAAGGAGCTAATGTCCAACAAATTAAATTGACAGTAGCCATGAAGACCCTTTAAGTCAATACAAAATACAATAGAGAATGATGGTGGTGGTTGTAGGTCATGTCCTGTGGAATAAAAGGACCATCCACTAAAACCAGTATTTTCTTTACAGCCGGATGAATCACTTCAAAGGTCCCAAACCCTAAAAAGGCTCTTCCTTCCCCAAATCCCAATGTGGAAGTGAAAAGAAAAAGTCTTAATATACATTACACCTCATCAAGCTGCACTCTCGTGATTTGTGCACTTTACAGTATACCCTGGAAAAAGACAAAACCCAAAAGTTACAGATATGTTGAAATTAAAATAACTTTGCTTTTAGTGCCCTTCTAATACAGCACTTGTTCTCACAGGAAGAAATAAATAAAATTAAAACGTAATGTCATTATATTACCAATTATTTTCATCACCATGCTCTTAACTTACCTAGAGACTGCAACAGCTTTAACTTGTATTTTTCCATCAGGCAGAGTAATAGGCTTCGTATACTTAAATGTATTATTTTCACCATAACCAATTCTCTTTAGAAATTCAGGTTTGCTGCCATCCAGGGTATAATATATGTTGACATCAGGGGTGTCTGAAAAAACCAAAACAGGGCAAGTGTAATTAACACTAAAGTAGCACAGTCTCTGTGGGTCAGTTAATTAATGAGATTTTTTATACATCATAGGAATGAATAACAATAACTAGCAATAAGTGAGTTCTTTCTCTGTGCCAGGCACTGTGCTTTGTATGAATTAGCTCAACGCACGTGTACAACCCTATGTGACAGGTCCCATTTTATACCCACTTTATGGATGAGGAAACTGAGTCCCAGAGGGGTTAAGGAGGTTGCTTGATAACAGCAGAGTTGTGGTTTCACTTTGGCTATGGATCCAGAGCCCATGCTCTTGAACCACTATGCTATTGTGCGGCTCCAATAATGCACTGAGGCAAATAGAGCAGGGCTCAGTTTTAAGAATACAACACTCATTTAGAAAGCAGAAGCTAAATTTTTATTTATTTATTTTTAAAGATTTTATTTATTTATTTATTTGTCGGAGAGAGAGAGAGCGCGCACACACAAGCAGGGGGAGAAGCAGAGGGAGAGGGAGAAGCAGGCTCCCCACTGAGCAGGGAGCCTGATGCGGGACTTGATCCCAGGATCCTGGGATCATGACCTGAGCCGAAGGCAGATGCTTAACCGACTGAGCCACTCAGGCATCCCTAATTTGTTATTTTTTGAGCATTGTTTCAGAAATGCTATGAGTGGGGCGCTTGGGTGTCTCAACTCTTGATCTTGGCTTAGGTCTTGATCTCAGGGTCATGAGTTCAGCCTACTTAAAAAAATGCTTTTTAAAAAGAAATGCTTTTAAGGGGCGCCTGGGTGGCTCTGTCGTTATGCATCTGCCTTTGGCTCAGGTCATGATCCCAGGGTCCTGGGATCGAGCCCCGCATCGGGCTCCCTGCTCTGCGGGAAGCCTGCTTCTCCCTCTCCCACTCCCCCTGCTTGTGTTCTCTCTCTCTGTGTCAAATAAATAAATAAAATCTTTTAAAAAAAAAAAAAGGTCAAAAAAGTTTGCTTAGAGAGGAGATCTTAAAAGTTCTTATCACAAGAAAAAAAACTGTTGGTGATAGATGGTAACTACATTAATTGTGGGGGTGACTTTGCAGTATATATAAATATCAAATCATTACATTGTGTACATGAAACTAACATAAAGTTATACATTAGTTATATCTCAATTTTTTAAAAAGTCAGAAAAGGATATACAATTAAAACCCTCTCCCACCCCTGACATCAATCAGACGGCCAAAGGCACTCAATGGTGTCTTGAGTATCCTCCCAAAAATATTTAACATCTATACAAAGCATGTATATATTCTTATTTTCCCCTCTTTTTTAATACAAATGGTGACATAACATATCCTGTTCCACACACTTCTTTTTTCATTGAACAATATTATCTTGGACAGTTTTCTATACTGGTGTACAGGGTGTCCTCACTCTTTGTTATGTCTGTATTGGGTGCTGTCCTTATACAAATGAACCAATATTTAACCAATTCCCTACAGGTGAATATTTAGGCTCTTTTTCTTTTCCTTTCTTTTCTTTTCTTTTGCCATCATAAGCACTGCAATGAATATCTTTGCAAGAAGTTCTTTTAATATCTGTAAAATATGTAGAACCAGTACTGCTCAGACAACAGATATTTTAACAATATGGTCAAACTTCCCTTCACGGACACTGAAACAATTTACATTGTTACCAGCAATGCATGAAAGTGCCTGTTCCCCCACACTCACCCCTATAGTGTGGTATTAATTTTTCTTTTATTTTTGCCATCTGCTAGGTGTAAAAAAAAAAACTCAGAGTTTTAGCTCACATTGCTTACATTTTTGAGTAAGATTCATTCATTCATTCAACAAATATTTATCAAGTACCTATTCTGTGCCAGACACTGTTCTAGGCACTGGGGAATACACCAGTGACCAAAGACTCGATTCTCATGGAGCCTCTATTTTAGGAAGGACCCACAAACAGTAAACAAAACAAACAAACAGGTATATACATGATATCAAGTGGTAATTAAATGCCATGGAGTAAATAAAGCAGGGGATAGGTCTGCTCAGCTAGTAGGTAAAGGGATGGGTAGATGTATATTCCTCTATGTTTAAAATACATTTATATTTCCTTTCCTATAAAATGTCCTTTCACATCTTTTGCCCACATTTCTATTGGGTTACTATTATTTTTGGTACTGAATTTAGAACCTATTTATTTATTTATCTAAAAGATTTTATTTATTTACTTGAGAGTGCAAGTGCACACAAGTGGAGGTAGGGGCAGAGGGCGAGGAGAAGCAGACTCCCTGCTGAGCGTGGAGCCCCACCCTGGGCTCAATCCCAGACACCAACTGAGCCACCCAGGTGCCCGGAACCTCTTTATTTATTAAACATTTTATCTTTTTTAAAGACTTTATTTATTTATTTGACAGAGAGATAGAGAGCACAAGTAGGTAGAGAGGCAGGCAGAGGGAGAGGGAGAAGCAGGCTCCCCGCCAAGCAGGGAGCCCAATGCGAGACTCGATCCCAGGACCCTGGGATCATGACCTGAGCCGAAGGCAGCCACTTAACCGACTGAGCCACCCAGGTGCCCCTATTTATTAAACATTTTAAATATTAGGGAATTTGGATACTCTTTCATATCATCATTTGTCAGTAATAATCCACCTTCTCCCAAGAGTTTTGGGCATATTCATTAAAATTTGTATTCTGGTTTGAGAATTTTTAAAAATAATACTAGCTTTTAAGATAAAGGGAGATACAGTATATTACACAATATTCTTAGCTGGAATTTGTCTAGGAAGCACAGGGGTCACCAGAAATATAGATAAATAGATTTTACACATTAACTATCAAAATATATAATTGGGGGGCGCCTGGGTGGCTCAGTGGTTAAGTGTCTGCCTTCGGCTCAGGTCGTGATCCCAGGGTCGTGGGATCGAGTCCCGCATCGGGCTCCCTGCTCTGCGGGAAGCCTGCTTCTCCCTC